AGATGCTTGTGTGCATGAAGTTACTTCTTACAAAGCTGGGGCTATATTTCCGCATGGGTACCCAGTTGGCTTGGGCAATTGCCGGTGTTGGACATCTAGAGAGAGGCAGCAGTCTGACCACCAGAAGTAAGAGTACTGGCTGCAGAACCACGAGGATCTCTGTCAAAGCTGGCTCTGCTATTCCCTAGCCTTGTAATCTTGAGCGATTGTTGAGCCTCTTGACAGCATTTTCTACAGCTGTGAAACTGGTATAACAATGCCCATCACATATGAAGATTTGATACGATAGTATCTGGGAAGACAGCACAATCACTAGCAAATAATACATTTTCAATATAAAGGCAGATCTTAACCTGATGCTGAATTATTATTCTATTACTGTTACTACTGACATGGCCATTTATACCTGTTCCTTCTGTCAGAGTCCGGAGGGAGTTACAGAAGATTCAATTGTTTTAGCGTCAAGAAGACTCTCAACAGGAGACCTCATTAATCTGGGATAAAACCTTTCCTTGACAGTGAAAGCATGACAGTTCTTCCAGAGCTGAGCTTGGGCTCTATTTTGAAGCCAGTGACCTTGAGTGATCCTGTTATCTTCTAGAATATTTATAATGCCATAGCACACATTATTTCATCAGAATAAGCAACGCCAAAATGTATTCCACTTGTGCTACAGAATATTTAGTTTTTGTAGGTTCAGGAATTTCCTATGAGGTTAAATATTTCCAGGAAGTTTCTGAATACAGAAAAATATATTAATGTACTATTTATTAGGTAAAGGTTAAGTAACCATTAACAAAAGTTTTGATGTGTCTAGTCTATGGCTAGCGATATACGCAGGGTAGTTGCTCTGAGAAATCTGCTTTACCTTGGTTTTTATGTAAAAGTAGACATTTTATGTAAACATTTCTAAGTGTGCTTTTTACTGTGATTGGTAAGACTATGACGTTCATATCCCCTTAAGAGTTTCAAAGGTAGAGTTTATTGGAGTTGTCTTTGCATTTCTGTTTTCTTAAAAATCTCAGGAGTTCTCTATGCAAATAGTATAGCTTCAGTTAACTCAGACATTAATTCACTGTGACCAGAAGAGCCTGGGGTATTCTTTTCCAGGCTCTAGATTTACTCACGTTCCAGGGTGAATTGGATAGGTTAAGTTTACTTAATGTCTTCTTTGGCCTCAAGGTTCCACCTTTCACCTGCTGTTTAACATTCCTTTCCAGATTCTTAAAAGCCCTGTTTACATCGAAAAGGAATTTTACGCCCTAACACAAAGTAATCATGAAAGAACGTACTTGTCAACTTAACTCCTGGTAGCAGGTTTTGGCTTCTTTTCCCCACTTTAAACTAAGGTAGCAATCTAACAGAGCTTTAGAAAAAAATGTAAAAGTAACACTTCCAGGATATACTTTTCCATTTCTAAGGTCAACGGTATGCATTATTAGTTTACAGTATGATTTATTAGTTTGGTTTTTCCCCTAGTACGTAGCACCATATTTTTTAATCCATTTGGTTAATGAAATCATTCTTGGCATTTTTTAAAGTGATTCTTTTTTAACTTAATACATGCACAGAATTGTTTGAAAGTACATGGTAACCAAATGCTAGAAAACCACAGAAACGGGAACTTGAACAGAATGTAGGAGGCGTGTTCTCAGAGCCTCCTGCTCCTGACTAGAACATGACTTGACCCCCTCCAGCAGCCACAGAAAGGGCTTAGTACCACTGACCATGACCGTCCCTTGCCAGGAACAGAACACACACAAAGAAAGGTCATGTAGAGGCCATGTATGACAGGCCAGTTACTAGTTAATTTCAATAATATGGAGCATGTCATTCATACATCAGAATCCTCTTTATCATATTACAAACCATATTCCTGAAAAAATTTTTTTGGAAGTATAATTCATAGGACAAGGCCTATTGAGTCGTATGTAAACTATATCCTCAAATTTCTAAAGGAGGGTCATATAAAATGTCCCCAAGGCTTCTAGTTTTCTATCTTCTTTATGTTTTTACTTGGAGAGATGGAAAAAGATACTATGTCAAATAGTAAAACAGGTAGTCAAAAATGACTTATGTGGTATAAAGATCAAATCCAAATCTCCGTTAAAATCTAACTCTTCCAACCTAAAGAAAGTTCTCTTTTCTCTAAACTGACTATGTATACAGTCTGTATCATACAATTTACTTAATGATTTTCATCTTGGTGCATTTAGATAATCTTCCTAAGAGAACTAGAGTATCTTTAGGGCTAAAACTATTTCACTTTCTGTTTTTCTTCTGCGAGGCTTTATGCAACGAGTGTGGTGGAAGGGGTCATATTAATATCTTAATAAATAAATCTCGGTTAACAAAACAGGATACACAATTTAATAGTGTATTAAATTTTATACTTAGTGTTCACAAACACATCTATATGATCCAAGGGTGCTCTTTTTTTTTTTTTACAAAATAGTAATAATTTGCTCTAAGAGAATATGTTTTCAATATTCCAGTGCTATAACCATAAAATATGCTATTTGTCATTTTCTTTTAAGTATTACTTCAAGAACAAAATAATGTGCAGCACTACAGAACTTCACAAGATCCTATCTTTTTAAAACATCAACATTCTCTGGTGGATTGGCAGGAAATTGGATCCATGCTATTCTCAAAGAGAACTACCTACAAATTTATGGGGACTTTCCTGATATTCAAAAAAAACAAAACATAAAAAAAAAAAACCCACTACAATTTAAGACCTAACTAAAGAGAAATGCTGGTCTAAATACACCACATAATGTTAAAATTAAGAAACATTTTCTAACCCAACCACTCTGTCTTTGATCCATAGACTATGGCATCGCACTGCTGTTTTATGTAAGAATGGGAGAAAATTTCCCCACTTTTAAATTTGGAAATCCTAATCATAATTATAAACACAAAACTGTGGCAGTCCCTATAAGGATATAAGTTCCTGGGAGGCAAGCTCTGGAGCCCCAGCTGTGTATCCACGATCAAGTTTGCCAGTGATACCCCAGAGCTGTGACCTGTGAGTTTTTACGGAATCCTTCTCTATGTTCTCACTTGGATTCCTTTTGCATGTGTGTTCTCAAGCTTTATTTATTTATTAATTTGTTTGTTTGTTTGTTTATATCTATTCAAGTATAATTAACATGCAGTGCTATATTAGTTTCAGATGTACAATGTAGTGATTCAACAATTCTATGCATTACTCAGTGCTCATCAAGATAAGTATACTCTTAATCCCGTTTATTTCACTCATCCCCCGCTACCCGCCTCCCCTACAGTTTGTTCTCTGTATTTAAGAGTCTGTTTTTTATTTGTCTCTTTTCTTCTTTGTTCATTTGTTTTGTTTCTTCAATTCCACATAGGAGTGAAATCACATGATATTTGTCTTTTTCTGACTGACTTATTTCACTCATTCTGTATTTTCACCTGGATTCTTCATATCAGTGATGTGGTAATCAAAGTTTAACAACCAGTTCTACAGGTGAAAAACTAGGGCTCATTAGGCAGCACTTGCTGATTTCTGCGATGTAAATATTCCCAGAAAACTGATGTCAGGCTACCAATGAGATGTCATTGAACACAGAGCTGGGAAACCACTGTGAGCCAGCTCCAGCACACTGCGCAAAATGCTAACAGTCTGGTCAAAGGAAGAGTATGTCCTAGGTGATAAGGAACAAGCTTACAGTTATAAGCCTTGCCAAAGAAATAGTTAGAAAGGTTTCAAGGAGTTGTTCTTTCATACAATTCAAAGGGAGGGAAATTGAATTTAATGGGACATCAATACAAACCATCTGTGGGAGGTCAAAGGGGTCAAATTTTGATCACTAAGTAACAAAGAGCTCTCCAACAAGTTTAACGGAGATATGTTTTTCATCCTGAAGTCTTAGTTTCCTTTAACCTGGAAAAGTTGAGGAAAGATTGGAAAGCCTCAACATCAATGTCTGAGAATGGAATTGCTCTTAGGATTCTCCATACATGTTGAGCCACTGAAGCTGTGCCTGCAATTAAACTAAAACATAAGGAACCTTAACCTTTTCACCTTGTGATGTGAAGGAAGCTCATGGATTGTGGGTATATATCTAAATTTATACAAGAGATGTTGACAAATTATTTGTAATATAATTTATTTTTTTAAAAAGTTCACAGATATTAACATTTTATATTTTTAAGACTTCAATGCAATATAAGTTCTAATTTCAGGAAGCAATGTCATAATAAAATAATTCATATATCTTTTCTAATTTCTATATTTTACCTATTCAAGCTTTAGTATAACCAAATATTTCTCAAAGTAATTTCATATTTTTCTAATAACTAATGGTTAAATCTTAATGTCAAATAAATCCTAACCCACAGTTTAGAGGCTGATTGTAATTCAAGCCTCTAAACCCTCAATAAAATGTGGAGTGCGAGACTTTTAGCTTTCCATTGAGATCCTGTATACAACAACTTCACATAACTTACTTTTTCTATTAAGGCTCACTAAGTATTAAGTCCTTTAGCCTTTGTGATGTTTTCCAGCACAAGGGTAAGCTGGTCCACTTGGCCCTCAAAGTGATCTAAAAATAATAATTCTTTCCTGAACTGTGTTGCTGTCCTGGCAGTCAACTCTAATCCCTCAGTCCAATATTAGGACATGGTTCTGCTTGAAATGCCATATAATTGAAATTATAAGCTCTTGTGTTCTTCTTGGAAGTAAGCCAGAATATTTGAAATCAGCTTATAGTAAACATATACTGAGCTAGGAACTGTCATGTTACAATGTGGGATAAATTATGGTCATTGTTCCAGTTTACCCAGGGGTCCACTAGCATTAAACACAATGTGAATTTCCTAAAACACTGAGGTTTCCAATAATAGAGTCCCTTTCCAGTTTCTTCTGCCTTCTTCAATAATAATGCTTTGTTTTACTATTCTTTTGTGCATGATGCCTTCCAGCTAGTACATGCTCAAACAATTTTAAAAGAACAAAATATAGTATAGTCCCTGGTGTGATTCCGTCCTGCACGGCTGTTGTGTGGAACAGTAGTCGTTTATCTCTGTCCGCCTTCTCTTCCACCTAAGTGCGTGCCACCACCCCATGGAAGATTCGATGGACATGGACATGAGCCCCCGGAGGCCCCAGAACTATCTTTTCGGTTGTGAACTAAAGGCTGACAAGGATTATCACTTTAAGGTGGATAATGATGAAAATGAGCACCAGTTATCTTTAAGAACGGTCAGTTTAGGAGCTGGTGCAAAGGATGAATTGCACATTGTTGAAGCAGAGGCAATGAATTATGAAGGCAGTCCAATTAAAGTCACACTGGCAACTTTGAAAATGTCTGTACAGCCAACGGTTTCTCTTGGGGGCTTTGAAATAACACCACCTGTGGTCTTACGGTTGAAATGTGGTTCAGGGCCTGTGCATATTAGTGGACAGCACTTAGTAGCTGTGGAGGAAGATGCAGAGTCAGAAGATGAAGAGGAAGAGGACGTGAAACTCCTTAGTATATCTGGAAAGCGTTCTGCCCCTGGAAGTGGTAGCAAGTTTCCACAGAAAAAAGTAAAACTTGCTGCTGATGAAGATGATGAAGATGACGATGATGATGATGATGACGATGATGACGAAGATGATGATGATGATGATTTTGATGATGAGGAAGCTGAAGAAAAGGCTCCAATAAAGAAATCTATACGAGACACTCCAGCCAAAAATGCACAAAAATCAAACCAGAATAGAAAAGACTCAAAACCATCAACACCAAGAACAAAAGGTCAAGAATCTTTCAAAAAACAGGAAAAGACGCCCAAAACACCGAAAGGACCTAGTTCTGTAGAAGACATTAAAGCAAAAATGCAAGCAAGTATAGAAAAAGGTGGTTCTCTTCCCAAAGTGGAAGCCAAGTTCATCAATTATGTGAAGAATTGCTTCCGGATGACTGACCAAGAGGCTATTCAGGATCTCTGGCAGTGGAGGAAGTCTCTTTAAGAAAATAGTTTAAACAGTTTGTTAAAATTTTCCATCTTATTTCATTTCTGTAACAGTTGATATCTGGCTGTCCTTTTTATAATGCAGAGTGAGAACTTTCCCTACCGTGTCTGATAAATGTTGTCCAGGTTCCATTGCCAAGAATTTGTTGTCCAAAATGCCTGTTTATTTTTAAAGATGGAACTCCACCCTTTGCTTGGTTTTAAGTATGTATGGAATGTTATGATAGGACATAGTAGTAGTGGTGGTCAGACAAATGGAAATGGTGGGGAGACAAAAATATACATGTGAAATAAACTCCGTATTTTAATAAAGTAAAAAAAAAAAAAAAGAACAAAATATAGTATAAAATCCAAAGCCTTTAGAATAAAAGAGAAGGTCTCTTGAGTCACACTTCCAGCATTTGCTAACTCTGTGACTGTGGATATATTAATCTCTTAGAGCTTCTATTTCCTAATCTTGAAAATTAGGGATAATGCCTGCCTGTTTGTAATGTTATGAAAATTAAGAGATAATGTCTGTAGAGCCCTGAGACCAATGTATGGACATAGTAGGCACTGAATAAGTGAGCTATGATGATAATAATGATGATTAATTGATTCTAAGGAAGAAGAGTTTCCCTTGGCATCCTGACTCTCCAAGAGCAGTGTACCAAAGCAAATCAATTTACTCTATTCATGTGGATTTAAAAATGTTCAGTTTGTGGATCATACAAAGCTTTATTCTTTTTTATTATGGTAAAATATGCATAACATTTACTATTTTAACCATTTTAAAGTATATGAATCAGTAACACTAAGTATATTCACAGTCCTGTGCAACCATCACCACTATGTAATTACAGAAGTTTTTCATCTCCCCAAAAGTAAACCCCAAACCCATTAAGCAATGACTTCCCTTTCTCCTCTCCTTTCAGCCCCTGACAACCCCTAATCTGCTTTCTGTTTCTATGAATTTGCCTATTCTGGATATTTCAAATAAGTGGAGTCATACAATATGTAACATTTTGTGTCCGTTTTCTTTCACTTAACATAATATTTTCAATATTGTAGCATGTATCAGAATTTCACTTTTTTAGGGCTGAATAATATTCTATTCTACATTTTATTTATCTGTTCATTATTTGATAGAGATTGGGATGTTTCCACTTTTTGGCCATCGTGAATAGTGCTGCTATAAACAGTCACAAAGTTTTTTCTCTGAGCATCTGTTTCCAATTTGGGGGGTATATACCTAGGAGTGGAATTGCTAGGCCATATGGTAATTCTGTGTTTCAGTTTTCATTTTGTGCCTTTAAAAATTGCAAAGGCAAAATTTTAGAAGTTATATATAAACTTACCATATAGCACAGCAATTCCACTCATGTGAATCTCCCACAGGAAATGTAAACATATTCACAGAAGTATCTGCACGTGAATCTTCATAGCATATTAATAATAGTCCAATATCAGAAACACCTCAAATGTCTATCAACTCATGAACTTATAATCCAAATATGGTATATCCAGCAATGGAATACTACTATTCATTAATAAAAAAGAATGAATCTACTGATCATATTACAGTATGGATGAACCTCGAAAACATTATGTTAAATGAAAGACGCCAGACACAAAAGACCATATGCTATATGTTTCCATTTATATGAAATGTTCAGAACAGGCAAATCTATGGAGACAGAAAGTAAACTGATTAGTGGTTGCCTAAGGCTAGGAGTGGAAATGAAGATTAACTGTAAATGGAACATGAGTTATCATATTGGAGTGATGATAATGTCCTAAAACCAAATCACTTTTTTGAAGATTTTATTTATATATTTGACAGAGAGAGAGAGAGAGAGAGTACAAGCAGGGGGAGCAGCAGGCAGAGGGAGAGGGAGAAGCAGACTCCCCGCTGAGCAGGGAGCCCAATGCGGGGCTCCATCCCAGGACCCTGAGCTGAAGGCAGATGCTTAACTGACTGAGCCACCCAGGCACCCCCTAAAATCAAATGATGATGATGGTTGTAAAACTCATGATATTTAACAAAAATCACTGAATTGTATCCTTGAAGTGGTTGAATTTTTATGGTACATAAATTGTATCTCCTAAAGTAAAAACATTTCCATAGAGGAAAATGCACGGTAAAAATCATACTATTCCTCCTTGTTATCCATTGCTATTCTGGGTTCAGAAATTCATCATCATACTCAAGGATTACAAAGACTCCAATTGGTGTCCTTGTCATCTCTATAATGTTCTCCATTCAAATTTAACCATATCAAGTAACCCTCAGGTAATTCCTTCTACTATTCCAAAACAAAAAGAACAAGCTCAGAGATATCCAAAGATCTCTACTTATTGCCCTCAACCTAGCATTCAGGACCCACAATCCACCATTATTTCTCCTACTCAAAAACAAATAATCCGGTGTGCCTGGGTGGCTCAGTCGATTAAGCGTCTGCCTTCAGCTCAGGTCATGATCCCAGTGTCCTGGGATCAAGCCCCACATCAGGCTCCCTGCTTGGAGGGAAGCCTGCTTCTCTCTCCCCCTCTGCCGCTCCCCCTTGCTTGTGCTTGCTCTCTCTCTGTCAAATAAATAAATAAAATATTTTTTTAAAAAGCCATAAAAAATAATCTGCTACAACATCACAGGCTTCTGTGGCCCTCACAACAATACCACCTATTCTAAACTCCAAGACTTCTTCATCTCTTTCTCATCTAGTGTGTTTTACCCCTTCTCATAATGCATAGGAAACCTTCCCAAGATGTAAGATTTCCCTCAAGTTTTGTATCACACAAGAGTTTTCTCTTTTAAGCCTACTTTAGTGTTTTGTAGTAATAGTTGTCTTACTTCTTCATTTGTACCCTTAAACAGAGATGCTATTGAGCTATACAAAGTTCGTGAAACAGATCACCTGGTCTGAATTATCCCTTGACCATCACTGTCCTTGCTCAAGTCTAATTAACCTTTAATTTATTTACTCATTAATAAAACAGATAATTTGTCACTAATTTGTCACAAAAATTGTATGTCATGTGTGAGAACACTTAGCACAGCAATTGGAACATTGAAAGAAATCAATAAATGTCAGTTCTTATTACAATTTATATTATTTTCTACATAAAATTGTAATCTAATTTCTAGTGAATGCCTTAATGCAGATGACAAGATGATACATTTGAGAATATAAATTATATCCAATATGTCAGTTCTCTATAGCACTAGACAATTATTTATTGATTGAATTATTGATTGATTATTTTAAAAAAAAATTTAAGGAAAAACAGAGTTTCTGTATTTATGCTGAGTATTATTATTATTATTATTATCATTGAGAATCATGTATGCCAAACCAACAACTAGTCTGAATTTTACCCAACCAGTAACAATAACGTGATCAGATTTTTATTTTAGAAAAATCTCCTTAGTTTTGAGTAGATAGACTGATGGAGTAAAAGACTGAAGTCATGATGATAATTTTTCAAAATAACTTGGGTGAGAGATGGTGAGTTCTCTGGATTAAGGCAAAAACAGGTTAAGTTTAAGGATTTCAGCTTCGATGTTTTAAGATTGAAATGCCAATAGGGCTTCTAGCGAACAGGTTCTGTGTTGTTTTCTTTTTGTTGTAGTGGTGGTGTTTTGGTTTGGTTTGGTTTGGTTTGGTATATATAATTCTGAACCTTAGGGAGAGATCCAGAAGAGAGAACTAGACTTAAAGCCAACAGAAGTCATGGGTGTGAATGACATTACTTCGAGAGAGTATGCAAAATGAAAAGAAAAAACAACAGAGACAAGAAGTAGTATTGGTAAACACCAAAATTTTGGGGGCAGACAGAGGAATAAACCTAGCAAAGAGGACTAAGATAGATGGTCAGAGCCTAGATAATCAGAACAGAATGGTATCTTAGGAAACAAAAGAAGCAGGAGCTTCAAGAAGAAAAATGTGTTAGTCAAACTATACCAATTTGCATGAAAAGACTAAATAAAATGAAGACTGATCCATCCAGATATTGGATGGAAGTTATTGAAGAATAGAATGTAAAATATTCTTGAAGATAGCATGTTGGATAGATTGGTAATGACAAATATCAAAGTCCTCAGGGAAGAATGTGAGCAGTATATTGACATTGTATCAGATAATATAAACCTCAGAGGAAAAAGAATTGTTATTTAGAGTTGAAAACAAATGGTCAGTAAGTTGCAATGAAGAACTAGGATAAACACAATATTGCCTCTTATAACTGGTATAACTAAATAACGAGTATTTGCACAAAAGCATGAGTAATGAAGAAATGTCTGGGAAAGTACAGATCATCTTCAACTTACAATGTTGTTATGACCCAGTAAGCCCATCATAAGTTGAAAATATCCTAAATCAAAAATGCATTTGATATACCTAACCTACCAAACATCATAGCTTAGCTTGGTCTACCTTAAACATGCCCAGAACACTTATAGCCTACAGTTGGGCAAATTCATCTATTTTATAAAGTACTATTTTACAGTAAAGTATTTAATATCTCATGTAATTTATTGAATACTACACTGAAAGTGAAAATCAGATCGGTTGTATGGGTGCAAAATGGTTTTAACTGTGTCGGTTGATTGCCTTCATGATCACATGGCTCACTGGGAGCTGCGGCTGCTGTATCATAACATACCATATCATACCATATACTGCTAGTCCAGGAAAAGATCAAAATCGAAAATTTGAAGTACAGTTTCACTGAATGCATATCGCTTTTGTACCATCATAAAGTTAAAAAAAAACAAAACAAAAACCCGTAGGTCAAACCATTGTAAGTTAGGGATCATCAGTTTAGGTTTCCACTAAGGACAGAAAATGGAAGCACCATAGGTACTTATAGGTACCTTTGTAGGTACAGAGATTGAAGATACTTGACATTTGATTTTCCGTAAGATAAGAGTTCAAAAATAAGATAGTTTTAAGGACATTCTGCTTAGGGAGTGCTTTCCAAGTCTGTTTTTGAAGAAAGGACGTGTCTTGGAGGTACTGGGACCTCCTGGTTTCTAATGCCAACCTGAGCAGAACTCCATTTCTTAGAGTTATGCT